GGGGGGGGGGGGGGGGGGGAAGAAACTAAAAATTGAGTACAAATTAAGAAGTCTAAAAATTCGCTTTAAATTAAGGTACATGTTATGTCTCAAGACTTTTGATTATGTCTTTGACTGTACTGTTCCTGTGGTTGGTTACTGGCTTGTTCTGTGTTGTGTGAACCCATTTTATTTTAGTGTTATCAGTTTTATTCAATAAAGTGAGTACATTTGTGTTCATTTATCAATTTATTATTTCTCTGTTTGTTTATAACCAGCAGATAATGAGTCCATAGACTAATCTATCACATGAAAGTGATGCAAAAAATTAAAAACATGTGGTGGATTAACTTGTTAATTGTGCTGTTATATAATTTTATGAGGACTGAATTATAATTATTTCAGGTAACATCATGACACTATCCTATAACATTGGTCTTACTGCGGGATCCCTCGTAGCATACTTATTGGATGCAATTTTGGGTGCACCGCACCCTGACACTTGCAGACCAGGAAGATCATCAATAATGAGTCCCATGCCAAGTACAAAATTTCCACTAATTTCAAATACTGTTGATATGTTTACACCTGCATTGACAAATTTGTCATACATCATACCCACTGAGGCAGGGTCTAGTATTACCCCAAACCAACTTTTTGGTCCCTTCAACACTACAGTTGCTGCCAAAACTACAGCATTGACAACTAGCATGACTGCTGCTACTGCCACCGTCCTAGCTACTGTCTTGGGAGTAGCTGCACATACCCTTGCACCTGAAAAAATCACGCCAACGGCAGCTGCAATCTCTAATATTACATATAGTTCTGCATTTGTTCCATTTAACACAACTTTCTCAAATTAGAGACACTGCTGTGTTTGTGTATGTGTATGTGTGTGTGTGTGTATGTGTATGTATGTGTGTGTGTGTGTGTGTGTACGTACACGTAAGTGTGAGAGTGTAAATAGAACTGTGTAATAGATTCTCAAACTGGATGCATAACAAGGTTGTGACAAAGTTCTGGAGGACAGAGACATTCTAATGATACATGTTGTAAAAACAAAAGATTACACTGGTAAATTACATGGACCATACTATTGCCACTGAGATAAGAGAACAGTTATACTTTTTTCTGTAAAACAAAAAAATTATATTGGTAAATAAACTTACATCACATTATTGCTGTAGAGATAAGAGGGTAGATTAACTTGACATTAGCAATGCAGTTTGCTTGATTTTCTACATTCTGTTATTTTCTGTGTTTATACCGATGCTGCATTCTGATTTGAGATGGGACTTGGTACTGGGGTAAGACACTAGTCTGTAATCTAGAAGTTTCAGATTCTTGATCATATCTGTGTGTAGATATTTCTGCTCAGCTGTAAAAGATAAAACTTTGGTAATGTGATGAGTACTGGACTCCAGTTCATGGTTTGGAGTCTACGTTAAGCTTTAGATTGCCTCTGCCAATCATCATTCTCATGATCACTTTATTAAAGGAATAGTGATAATTTTCACTATTGATGCTGCTGCATTACAAATAGATTATGTGCAATTTCCTAGGCTGGCAGAGGTCAGAAAGGTCATCATACACCATATGTGAGGTATTAGATACTTAGAAAACAAACAGGCAAACAAATTTTATGATTTTAATGAATGTATTACTTAATCTATTATATATTTTTTTTCTATATCTGCTCTTATCTAGTCCTGTTGCTAAGAGACCATAAATGGTTTTAATGAAGCAACTACTATGTGGCACCACAATGATGAATAATAAAGAAGGTATATGATGTAAAACTCATTTTTAGAACTGAATAATTTGGTGTATACAAGATAAAAATATCTGATGTCACATACTTTAGTTTTTAGAGTCTAAATTAATGGTGAGTAAGATTAAGTCAATGTTTGTTCCTTACAGTGACTTACAATGTCTATCACTTAACAGGTTAGGAGTCCTGTTATTGTTTATACAACAAAGAGGTGTTATACAAGATTGTTTTAAGAGCAACATTTTTGACACAGGAAATATACATTTATAAGATTGACATAATAATATTAAATACAATTAATTTGATGTGCTTTGTTTTAACAAAAACCCAGTGGAGAACAGGAACGTCAGCCTCTATGTCTGAAATAATTAAGTTAGCTTTGCTCTTTCATTCTTCCTTTTCCAATTATGTAAATTTTGGTTTGCAGCTGAAACTTAAAAACAAAATTTATGATATTTGAATGTAATTTTGAGTTATATATATGAATTTGTCCATATTTTTATTGTATAGTAATATGTTTTCGATCCCATAGAGAACTTGGTAAGGTAATTACCATAAATAAATAGTGAAAGAAAATATTTCTCTAAAAGAGGACAGTATAAAACATGTTTATGAAAAGACCGACAGTTTCGTCCCAGATCACAGATGCTGAATAATACTTTTTAAGTTTCTATATAGAAATATGTTTTGCAGAATTTTTATCTTTATATTCGCATTTCTACATGTGTAATGTAATAAAATATAGTGAATAATTTATTTCTGTAGTAAAGATTGAAATAGAAAGGTACCGTCACAGTTAATACAAGAATGACAGAAAACTTTAAAATGGTTTGTATGAACTGAATTAAAACACAAGTAACAGCTTGGAATAAGAAAGTTTAGTTACAAATAAACTAGTAGATTTATTGTAAAATGAATTGTATTGCATTGCATTTCAGTGCAGACATATATAGTATATTTTGAAGGAAAACTATGTCTCTTTGATTGCTGCCTAAGATGGTGCCATTTGTAATGTTTGATTTATGTCTATATATATATGGTTCCTACGTTATTTTTTCATTCATGTTTATGTGTCTTAACCTTTACTATGTATTGCAGATTACACATGATTCAGCTTACTGGATTTTTTATTTATATTGTTGCTTAATGATACATAATATATGTTTCATAACCGTCAGGTCCTTTGATGAGATTTAATAAAATTCCTTTAATAAAAGTGTCATGATATGGTATAGAATTTGGTCTGTGTCAGTTGTTGGATGGATTCACTGAAAATTCTGAATAAAAATACATCTCTGTATCAAAGAGAACATTCATCCACTTCAAAATTAATACTGAAAATGATATTAATACACAGATATATTTACTATAATAGCCATAGTTACTATAATATATGTCTTTTTTTAAGGAATTTAGTGATTAATTAAACCAAAAGCAAATTGTGCCAAATGTTTGTAGATGTATTTTCTTCAAATAATTCACATTACACATTCATTGACCTTCACTCATGACTCTTTACAGTTCTGTCCATGTTGCTAGGGTTTTCAGATGGCTTCTTAATATACTGAATGGATAGTCACTTTTGATCCTAAAGAAATGCAACATTTTGAATAATAACTGGAATTATGCAACAGCATTAATTTTACAACATTTTATAATTCAAAATTAATTAAATAAGTGAGATCAATAGGTGAGGGTGCTAGTTACAACATTTCAGAAAATGCTTTTCACTTTATTATGACTGAAGTGAAATTTCTAAGGAAAGTGACCTGACAGGCCTGTGGTGGTACATTGCCACCAACAATTAAGAATTCTTTATTGTTCATAAATGTTGAAAGTCTTTATGCTTTATCTGTTATATGTAATTAATAAATACAAGAGAAGTATACAAGGTGTAATTATAATAATATACAGTGGATTCTGACTAGACATAAACAGGACTAAGTGTTAGAAAACTTATTAAACTGGAATAACGTTTTTGATGTGGATAAGCCATTTTGATTGTAAATAGAGTTTGAAACTGTTCTGAGGCATGTTATAACCAGACAGCCATCACTGTTATAGTATTTATTGGGTTATTTCAATCTCTATAATGAACACTTAATAAGAATATTCTGAAAGTGACAAATGACATTTTCGACATTTCTGATCATGTTTCCTCGGTGGGTTTGACACAGAAATCAAAGCATAAATGTTCAGTGATGGAATGCTGTGACTAATATTATTTAATAATCTTGTAGAGGGTTAATTTTGAATTCCTTAAATGTTCAGTTAATTTTAAAAAAATATGTTTTTACATAGATCACTGTATTTTTCAAACCATATAATTTTATGAAATTTAATGATGCTTATAATTTTCTGAGCAATGATATTAAAGGAAGCCAGTGTTTGAAATACGTAAATTATTCTTTATGTTGCACTATACAGTTAAATCTCTTTAATCACTGTACAGATTTGTATGTCTGCAACATTTAAAAACTGGAAGACATATAAATGTAGTTATAAATATTCATTAATTAACTTATCCTTTATGTTATAAATGTATAACAGCATTTTGTCACCGAGGTATGAAATTTGTTTCACTTCCTGTGCAATTTAAACAAAAGGAACACAGAATAATTGTTTTACTTCACCAATATTTGCATGGTTACATATAAAAAGGTTATAGTAATATTTCCAGAAAATTTTGTTTAGCATGGTCATGTACCATAATTAAAAAAGTTCTAAATTTAAGTTATAAGTAATTTATCTCGCTTTAACAGTGCCAGTGTAAAATCAACTGAAATTTTCTTTATATTGAAAGTCAGTTATTATGAAATTAAACTATGAGTTTTATTATATTTGTTTATTGAAGGTTAACTAGAAAGTCAGCCTGTTGTTGCTGAATTTTCTGATGTCAAAGAAAATGCATTACTGTTTCAAACAGGGGTGGAGCATTCATGTTAACTATGTTAGCCTGGCAAACACTGTTAACATGAACACATCATCCCCAGTTTCAAATCTTATCAGCTTGAAAGAACCATGTTTATTTTTGTTCATTTTACCGTGTGTTTATTGGAGTCTCTCTTGAACATCATGGAATGCAATTTCCTAATTTAACGATCCTGTTGTTTCAAAAGTCACCTAACTGCAATCTGAATGTCAGAGTGGGGCATCAGGTTACAAGTTGAACATAACATTTTAATGTGCACAACTGTGTGAATGTATTATTATTCCTCAAAGCATAATTTTAAGGTGGGAAGCGTAGATTTTAATTTATTATGAACCTTACATACAGAATATTTAAGAGTCCTGACTGCCCTACAATCAGAAAGTTTTTGTCCTCAGTTCTTTAGAAATTACTATGTATGGAAGCATTACTGGGGCTTTTCAATTAATCTTATTTCTAATCTGTAAAAAACTGGCGTCCCCTTAAATTTTAGATCCCTTCAGACTCAAACTTTAGCAGTTCATTTCATTATTTTAAGATTACTCTGCCACAAATACTGATCACAAGAGTTGGGTCTATTAAAATGCGCTTGTATTTAATGAATTAACAAGTGGGGAAAACTTTTCACACTATTCTCACTAAATACCCTTCAAACTTTTAGTACAGCCAGTCAGTGGGAAATGAAGAGGTGGTGGTATAACCTTAATTCACATGAGCTGTGAAATAAAAGCTGTTATTCTCAATTGCATAAGTTGGGAATATCTTCCTAATTGGTTCTTTCAATATGCTTTGTCCTTGGACCATTGTAATATGAACAAAATTCCCAAGTACCAATAAATTGACTAGTTCATTGCTTTTATGAATCCCTAACTTTAACATTAATTGGTATTAATTTGTATTGTTTCAGTAGGTATAAAATATGTTTCACATCATTTTTCTAACAACATGTCATTTCTAATGTGTTCCATTTTCATGGTTAAAAGCTACCACCATGTATTATGACTATATGGCAATCTGAAATCATCGTTGTACAAGAATTTATTCTACATTCAGCCTCAAAGTCCAACTTTAACTAAACATAAATTCTGTAGACATGTTAATATATATATTTTTAACCTGGAGGAATATTTCCTTGGTAGAACTTTCCAGTGTTCAGTGTACTCATATTTTATTAAATTATGTCATGTAGATGTATGAAACAGAATGATAGTAATTAACAAATTTCATATCTTAGTGATATAATTATATCTATGTTGATGTTGGTGTTCTGTGTTGTAATGCTGCATGGAGTTATAGGTAGACACCTACATTTTTGGAGATCAATATGCCTTTAGCTTTAGGGCATTCTATTCTTTCAAAACAGTGATACCTTCCTATAATTTTTCGTGGTGTTACAACCTAGAAGACAAACATTGACATCTTCAACATAGTAAGAACTTAAAATCTCATAAATATATTAGTTTCATAATAGACAGTTATGTAAGGGAAGAAATATAATGCTTGTATATACCTGTAAATGTCAGTATATAGTGTAACAAGGTAATTAATTGTTAGACATGCTTTGTGTACAGTTGTATTTGACTCCTTTAGTTGTTGACGTTAGAAGTGTTTTGAAAATATATGTAGAAGTTAAATCATAATGGATGTGGAAGAAAACTGTATTACATTAAATGTGAAAATAAAACTGCTTAAAATATGAATTCTTGCAATGTTTCTATTTGTTTAGTGCTGATTTGACCTCTGTTTGTAATCTTACAGATTTTGCAGTTGATAATACTTGAAACATTTTAACCATTCAACAAAAGCAACATCCAAAACACCAGCATTTTTGAGATGTTACTTCATTGGAAACCATTCTATTTCAGAAATTCTTAGAGCATGTCTTGACTTTATAATATTAATCAATAACATCTGTAACTCTATAATTAAAATTGATATGAACTTCATTTGAAAGTAAACCTGCAGACTTAAATAAAAATATAATTTCACATGTGTTTTGTTATTTAGTATTCAGTATCAAAGTAAAAGGAATAGCAGAATAGGTAATTACTAACAGTGAAGTTCTGATAGCAGGTGGTGTTGCATGCCATGTTAAATATGCAGTGCCTATATAAACTGAACACATCTATCCATAAATCAGACACCAGCTTCATAGCATCACTATACCTACAAGATTACTGTATATGCATGTATTGTGTTTAGAACAGAAAACAGTAAAGCTGTTTTATCAGATATACTATAACCATATTTCAGTGCTAGAAAAAGAAACTTATTAAGAGTACAGAAATTATATAATCTGTAAAACGAGAACAACATATGATATTTAGCACCTTATAATGATGGAAAGCACTGAAGCTGAGCAAAGGAAACAACAAGAATTAATAGAGAATTACAGTCTAAGATTCCATTTTAGGGCACTGAAGTTATGTGGTGTATTACCTCCAGAATGTGTTTATTCAAGTCTGTGGAAATCAAGATTATATGATATGTACACTTGTTTGGTACTCATTTGGTTTATACCTGCCATTGCTGCTATGTTCATTGAATTATGCAACTATCTGAATAGTCTTGAAAAAGCCATACCCATAATTTTTCAAATATCTGCTTTTGTGTTAAGTGCAATATTGGCAATATATTTTGTATATAAAAGGAAAATTATGATAGAATTATTTCACATATTGGAAACAAATTTTAGACCTTACATGGAAATACTAGGATCTTCTACAAAAAAATTAAAAACAATGGAGGAGTCGCTGTACACTGGGAAACTTATTTCAAATACATTCTTGGGTGTTAGTTGTGTAACAGTATTTATATGGGTCGTAATACCGACTATAAAAGGATATATTGAATTTATTCTCCAGATTAATCAGGAAGGCATAGAACACAATCATGGCAAATACTTTGGATTAGCAATGTGGTTTCCTTCAAACGTAAATAAGTCTCCATTTTATGAAATTGCACAAATTCTACATGGAGTTACCGTAATTACAGGTGTTCTGAATATCACAGGATGGTTTATAGCAATGTTAGGGCTGATGTACCACACCGCCTCACATTTCAGTATGTTGGTAGATTTAATTGAAGATATCAACATAATATTTTCTACAAAAAAGGAGTCTGAGCAGCATTGTCTTCATACACCACAACGAAAACAGTACAGAGATGAACGTCATGCTGAAGATGAGTCTGATGAAGAAAGTCAACATTTGGCACAGCTGCATAAATATTTGACATCTTGTATCAAGTACCATCAAGAAATAATTGGGTACGTAAATAGCGTGTAACAAAATTCATCTTCCATTTTAAAAGTTAGGAAATATATGCATAGCATAAAAATTCTGCACATCTGCCAGTAGCCAACCCTTAATTTTTGAAATTGGACCAATTGATGTAAGAGATGCCTGCAATCAGCAACATTTGACCCCAACACCATAGTACGTATGTCCTTGGTGGTGCATTCTAAGGCAAAGCTGAAAATCAGTGGTGATAGAACATCTGCTTCTTTCGGACTGTTCTGATTAGGAAATGCATATTAATAATATACTTCATATGAAATTAGTTGTATAACTTAATAAATTAATTATTTACAGTTTATGCAAACAGATAGAAGACTTCTTGAGTCCAATGCTTCTAATAATCTTCGTCTTCAGTGAGGCTCTCATGTGCTTGTCTACATTTCGATTAGCATATGTAAGTAATAAGCATACGTTTGTTAACTGCTTTAACTTTATTACTTATTATGTATTTAAAACTGTTTCTTGTTTTACTGAGTTATAAACAATTTGCCCTGCTCACAAATATCCTCACTATTTGATCTTGCCCTTGAGTGCAAGACCAAGTTTCACACCTAAAGAAAAAAAAGAAAAACCCACCAACAACAACAAACAACTAACTAACTAACTAACTAACTAACTAACTAACTAACTAACTAACTAACTAACTAACTGACTGACTGACTGACTAACTGAAACTATAGTTTCATATGTTGGTTTGTTACTGCTGTTACCAAATATTTGAAATTTTACATTTGTAAGAGGTTGTTAATTAAAATTGTGTTATGATTTTTTCTTGCATTCTAGTGATGAAACAAATATTTACTTAGATCTCTGCCTTTATCTTTAGACCAGCCTACTAAATAACGAAAACTACAGATTTTGCAATTTTCTCGTTAATTTTAATACATACGAGAAACAAATGTGTCCCTTTCAATTCCAGTTTCTCCTAATATTTCTGAAGCTTTATTTCGACGTAGTATGGATCTGAAACAAAGCTGTGTCATTTAAAATTCCATTGCAGGGTTTTGCTGATGATGAGAGCCTAAAATTTCTGATGAGTGGTTCCTGCTTTTACGTTTGGTTGCTGTCATTCTGTTGGGCCGGCGAATACCTCACTGAACAGGTAAGTACGTCACACTTACTGTTGGGGAAATTTTCACAAAATGTTCGTTAGGAATCCACGTGGAAGACCTAGGCACAGAAAAAGGATAACACGAAACGAAACTTACGGATACAGCGTGGGAGGGGCGGACTGGATTCATCTGACTCGGAACAGCACCAGTGGAAGGCAATTTCTGACATTAGGTAAATATTTGCGTAATATAATATGACACGATAATACAGAAAATTTACTAGGGCCACAAAATTGACAAGTAGCAGGTTCTTAGGCCTTTATTTAGAGAATTTGTACCCGTCGAAAGAATTATATTAGTTGATTTTTGGTAAGAAATGCGATACAAAGTTCCTTCTATATCTTTTTATAAATTTGCGAGTCGGAGCACATGAATTATGTGAGTTTATACCAATTATTTCAGGAGTCAATTATTATGATGTTACATTCATGTCTCTTCATTACTTTCTATAGACTTTTTTTCTCTTAGCTTTCTTCGTTTTGTTTTCCCCCGTTTCATCGTTCTTAATCACTGTTTCCTATAATTTTTCCTCCTTGGAAATATGTTTTGTGGGGTGGGGGTAGCAAATGCTTCTTTAAATAACAATAAGTTAGCTGAACCACAAAAATCTAAATACCCTTTTTGTTACATCTCAATATTTCAGTGTGGGAATTATGTACCTCAACTTCCTTTTAGATACAATGCTGTTGTACGTGTGACGAAGGTGGCCAGAATTCCTAAGGCATAAAACTTCACAGTCTGTTGTTCTCTTATTTACAGAGTCTGGCAGTTGAAAAGGCGATTTACGGCTGTCCCTGGTATAAGCATTTGCAGACAATGCACGACATCAAGTTCGTCATTATGCGAGCTCAAAAGCCGATACAGCTCACCGCAGGGAAGTTCTATAATGTGTCGTTAGAAACCTACCTTCAGGTACATAGCTAGTTGGTCGAATTTTAGATTAGTTCAAAGTAATCCGAAAGCAGTTAATAGACCTATTATGAAATGCAACGAGTCGATTCATACTTTGTATTTTCAACAAATATTACTGGGCTGACACAAAAAAAAAGAGGATGTGATGGGCGGTGCATGTAGAACGGATGGGAGCGATGAGGAATGTGTATAAAATTTTAGTTTTAAAGAAACTTCGGAGTAAGGAAAATGTTAAAATTGTTCTTACAGTAACAGGGTTTGAGGACATGGACTGCGTTCATATGACTCAGAATCGGTTGCAGTGACGCGATATTTTAAAAAAGATAATGGATATTAGGGATCCATAAAAGTAGATACTATTTTGACTAGATAAGTGACTGCTCTAGAAAGTTACTTATTAACGTATAATTGTCGTACCACCATGATTCTTAGATCACTATTTACGTAGAAAAATAATTAGTGTAGTCGCCATCTTCTTACGTTCAATTTTCTTCAAATATGTATATGTATGCACACATTTAATCTTTATAACTGCATGACTGACCAAGTTATGAGTAATGAGATTAGGTGATAGAATGTTCTATTTTGTGAGAGCTGCTAATATTCGGCGCCTTTTAGAACTTGGAAAGGAAGATCAAAATAAGAAAAGCAGGAAAGAAATAAAGAATGTGAGGGGTGAAAGTGCGAAAGAAATCTAGTGGCATGATGTTCATACCGAGTTTCATGGAAATTAGACAGTATCTGTGTTATTGAGCAGGAAATGGTGAAGAGACCTAATCAATGACAACGAATAAATAATAATAATAATAATAATGTCTGTATTTGAATGAGGGGCTGGTGGAAAGACCACATCGCTAAAAATGAACCTAAATAACAGTGGGGCGAGGATATTTGAGTGAACTTTCCTTTGTTTCTTTTGTGCTTTCAGATAGCGAACACGGTGTACGCCTACTATACCTTATTGAAGAACGTTGCTGATTCGTAGGAGACACTACACAGATTTCTAGGACACAAAACTTGCACTTTGTATAAGCCTTTAAAGCTCAATGGTAACTATATGTACCAATTGCTTCAATAATTCTGCATTTTTCACAGTGTATTATGGGTTTTGTGTGATTCTTTGGGTAAACATTGATTAATTAAACAACGTTTATCAACTGATCTTTGTCATAGTGAAGTGTTCTCTTTGAGGTACGGATTGAATGTTCAAGCATTATTTGGACGATCTTGCTTCAAATGGTTGAAATGTGCACAAGTGTAATTTGCTGACGTTATATTCCCCATTGGATTGTTATGAGTTGACATATGTACTAGTGTACTGTAACTTGTATAGTAGGAAATTGAAATAAACTTGTCTCTTTTGATTTTGTTTCATTTAACTTAAAAGATTTATTGTCAACTATACTTGGCAGTGACTCTTAAAAGCCTGGCGTTACAAAGAATCTTTATTTCAATAACAGAAAAATAGCCGAGTAAAATGTTTACACATGATACATTTTAAGTCAGACCCCTTACTGACTTATCGCATCCATAAATTACGTCAGTAAATTTTGTTTAATTCCAAAACGTGTAACATAGAACTACTGACTATTGATAACATTTTATGAAATGGAATACACTTTCGTGGATGAGGTTATAAACCTGTCTAGTATATCCTCTTTATATTTTTATGTTATAATTAATCTGTTATGCACATAGACCTACCTTATTAGACTGAAAGTTTCTAATATTTTCCTCTATACAAGTTACATTATAATATGAATAGTCTTACAGACTATTCTGACATACCTCTTTCTGACTATGCTCTCTCGTTTTCCCGTTGTGCAGTCTGTCTTCGTCTTTGACTGGAGTGGACTGACGAAGAACTGGTTAGAGCGGAGTGTGGGTTAAGAGGTCAGTGCAATAGGCCGGCGTGTTTAGGTATTAATGTTTCTTCTGTAATTTGTAGGGTGCATTCACTGATGTGTTTTAGAATACAAACACTGGGATTAATGATTGTTATAATTTATTGTTATTATTTGTAGTGTACTTAACGACGTTGTCAGTAGCTCAGACAGTTAGTGTCGCATGATACGATGACTATTGAATAATTAACCGGAAGGACATGAAGGAGAGCGGTAGTATCTTTCCCGACATTTTACTGGAGAGACTGAAGAAACCAGTAACAAGTCAGGAGAACAGGCCTCCGAGCGGAGACTTTGAACCTGGGACCTCCCAAATACGAAGCGGTGGTGCCAACCACTCAGCAGCTACATTGGGTGGATTCACGTATTAACATATTAATTTTGGAGAGGTACCATACCGTTTTCGGGTTACTGGCGTATATTAGAATTATTATGGTGTCTGTGTGTGGTCTACAGTGCATCAGCACCATATGAAAGGCCAATGATTTTTCACTTTCTTCATATAAATAAGACATGAAGAGACTTGTGACACAGATAAGGAACAGTTTAATGCTTTTGATTATATTGATAAATAAATGTACCCTACTAGTTTTATAATATGTGATTTGGATGATGTAATTATGGAGAATGTAATATATGAGAGATTTTTGCAGAAATGTAACAATCCAACCATTTATCATCAAGTACCACTGTCCACAAACCATTAAAAATTCTGCTAAAAACAGGTAATTCTTAGGCAATCGTGTCTTGCGTAGATGAGCGTAACTTGATTTAGTAATTCTTTTTCAGTGAAATGTCAGATAAGAGTTACCCTCTTCACAGACAGAAACATGTAGGCCGACGTAATGGCCACATTTCTGAGTCAAGAACATAAGCGTTATGAAGGGGAAAGCATTTCAATGTGAACTTTATCATTCCTGACATTAACAATTATGTACTGACTCTTTTATAACTTTTAATAACAAATTATTCCAACTGCTTTCTCCTTATACAAGCCCTTTTAAATTTCTAATTCAATAATTTGTTTCTCTTACTTTTACTTACTTTGGTTTTAAATTTTAAAAATCCTTCTTCCGTGTAACTATACGTTTCTTTCATGGCTTAATATGACAATAGACGTTACAATTCATGAAACTTTAATAACAGTTGACCTTGTCAAAAAGAAGAAAGATACATATTTCCATGAAGAGGTCACTGTGAGTGTTACAATCCAGTGATCAAAACACATTAATAGGTCCTTGAACAAAGACAACAGACATCAAGACAGTGAATGAATCCAGTTAATAATTCCATTATGAAATGGGGTGGGATGAAATACTGTAAAGACAAAAGCTGAGTACAAACAGCATGCCTTAAACATATATTTGTGGTACCATAAACTGCAATTTCCTGGTTTGTTCTTATTTAATGGCTATAATTCTATTATTTGTGTCTCTCTCGTTGTGTTTATTGTATTGAATTTGGTATCAAAATGCACATTTCTTATATTATCATAAAGAAGTACCATCAATGACCACTTTCACTATAAAGTTTCAAAACTGCTAAATTCCTTTTACATTAATTATGCTCTTAGTAATAAACCGAACAAGAGTGTTCTCAAAGCTGTCAGTGAAAGTTGATCTATTTCTCTACAAAGTACACTCACTGTTGATTGTGAGGCAGTTAATTTTGTATTTTAGTCATTTTATTTATGTTTATGATGACAGAATTTGTTTGTGAAACAGATTGTGTTATTAAGGTAATTTATGTTCACAAGAATTTTAGATAAACTTTATAAATATTTTCGTAAAATATTTCACATTCATTACCACAGCAGCTAAGTCCTCCAAAAATTTACTACTATGTTTAAAAAAGCCCATCACTGGATCCAGGCCTGAGCCAGATGAATCCACTTCACGTACTCACACCGTCTATTTAAGATACATTTTAATAGAACACCCTCTCTTCCATCTATTCCTTTGTCTACAGGTGTTCCCTTCCCTGCAGATTTTTCCAACTAAATTAATATTCACACCTTCAAAGAATGCCTCTCCTTGATAAAATGCTTGGTCCCCTTGAACACAGCTCAGTTTCAGGGTTTATGATGAAATTATGTGATAACTGCATTTGTAAGAAACTCCAATCGATACATAATTTGTAAGTAAATTAGTACTTTAAACAGATTTCACTGACATTGCTAAGAAAACATTAAGAAGATAATGACTGATCATAGAAAAGAACGAATATGGTACTTCTTTAAGATGTATTCTAATATTGATAAATCCTCACTGGAGAAGTCAGTAGATGGTATGTACAGCATCATCTTGTCAGAACAAAAGAGGTGTTACCATTACACAGATATGTATACGTAAGAAGGGTCCATCATGCCATGTTGCCTCACCTTGTGTAGGGACGGATGCAGACATTGGATGATCAGTATATTTTGTACTGCACACGAGCATAAACACGGGCTAACATTGATCAAGTAGGAACACACTCAACATTAATTTCTTAACAATCTGAAGTGAAAATGGAAATTTTTAATAAACTGATTTAAAAAATATGAATTGTGATTTAAATTTATTTTGCCTTCAAATACGTTTTTGTTTCCAATTTCTCCATACTAAAAACAGTTTCAGTATACGCAAGATGTAAACTGTCTTTAAATATTTAAACAACCAATTTACATGCCTTTCCTTTATTCACAGTTGTATCTGAAGGGACAAAAATCAAGCCAAAGCAGATCCAATATAGTCAAAGTCTGAATTTTATGTGAACATTAAACTCTTTACTGACATACGGACGTCATATTCAGGACACTTATCAACAGTTTTTTATCAAAGATCATAGCATGATACAGAGAAGAATAAACTGACAGTGTAATACTCCCCAAAACAAGGCAATAAATTAGTAACACACACATTCTGCTAGTTTATGGGCTCTGGTTTGAGGACTTACGTTGAGACTTGGTCCCGTGATCTGCAATCATAATCTGATCTCAGCTTGATCTGAAATGGTATCATTTGGTATAATTATCCCTTTAAAAGCAGTTAATAATGTGTACTAAAATTCAGCTAATGTAGATGTACAAGAATTGATAGAATTTATTGTTCTTTATTTAAATTTTATAAACTATTAAGATTATACAAATCTTTGTCATTGTTAATACAAAACAATTACTAAGATAGAAGTGCCCTAAGAGAATGCAGTCATCTTTGTTCACAACAAAAACTACAAGAGAACCCTGAACAATCTGTGTTCCATGTAGCAATACCGTTCTCAATTGGATAAATACAAAAATCATTTCATAATTGTATTAGTTATGATAGTGGGGAAATGTCAGTCCCCTCCCATTGTCTATCACATTCATCCAATGAAAATCTTTCCTTGTGAACTTCCAATGGAATATTGTCTTTAAATTACTTGTTTATTTTATTTTATTGTTTGCTTACTTGTGTACTGCCAGCAAAATATGGCCTGAATCCCTGATTTTCTCATTTGAAAAATAGTATTATAAGTTAATATCTGATACATAGTACTTAAGTGGAAAAATAAAGAGCCTCAGTCATAGCCCAAACTTTAAACTTTCTTACTGAAAGACCTTGAATATGCTCATGTGCAGTGCATGGACTGCTACTACATTATGCTAGGCTATTCTAACAATCTTCTTGCAGTTAAGTTTCCTCTCATCATTTGTCACACTCCTGCATACACACACATGTCAGAAAGTTTCTGTATGTTCCACTCTAAAAGTACATGACTATATTTTCTTGGCACTGTTTTTAACAAGAACATCAACAACAACATTAAAAAACCTCAAAATCATTGTTATTTCACTTATTGGGAAAAGAGTTGGTAAACACACTGGATACCAAGTTCTGTCTTTAAACAGATATCCACAGTGCGTACATATAAACACACATTTACGCTGTAAACGACAGTCTTAAAATGTACGCTGTAATATTTGTCACTTTACTCTGTGATGTAAGTTTCTCTCCAGTTTTATTCCTAAGAATCTGACAATAGATTTCTTAAGCAATATTACAAACAGTCCTTCACTGTGGATTAAATATTACAGTTATCTTATAAATAGTTTAATGAATATAAAATGAGCCGTACTGGTAAATTTTTCCAAATACCTCAGTACTTTAAAGTGGCTTAGAAAACAAATGAATAGCATGTAAGTAATGCTAAAGTGTCTTTCAGGAACATTTGAGTAGTTCACAAGAAATTGTATTCATATTGAAATGAATGATGAGTTACATGAAGGACATTATATAATCTGTTCACTTTAACCTACAGGCAAAGTACAGTTTCTACACAATTAGTAGAGAAATTCATTATGTTCAAATACAGAGAAAATAGCAGTAGTCACAAGTAAAAATGAGTGACACCTCTTCTTGTCACTACTTCCACCTCCAGTAGTCAACCCACAGGAAATTAGCATTAATCAATTCATTGATATTAGCGCAATTATCCACTTAACATATAAGTTATACTGAACTTGGCTGATGACATTAACGTACAGATTGAGATTTCAGAAATACTAAGATCTTACGAAAAGAATGTATATAAATATTATGCATTTATGTTAATCATTCAATGGCAAAAAATGTCTGCATGTATAAAAGATAAAATTATATTAACCTTCAAATGCATTAATGTATTTAGTTTTATTACGTTATTACTACTTATAGGTTTATTTATTTTTAAATATATGTGGGTTCTCTTATTATTTATGCACCAGAACTTCATTATCCTAAAATTAAAGAAAAATGTATATGAAATATTTTAATGTACATTGTTGGCATATGCAAGAGATAAGCTCGGTTATGTTCCTACATTTCACATCATGTTATTTGAAATAAACAAGCCTGCTCATATAATATGGTGTGACTGACACTTTGTCAGAATTTATTAAATGCTTTATTTAAGTTTATTTTTTCTTGTATGAAAAACAGTTCTAACATAAGTAATTTTTACTTTACTGAGGGACAAAATGAATAAATGGCATCACCAAAACTAACTCTATGGAGCAGAGTTCTTCATGAAGAACTAATATTCGCTCAGAAAGTAAAAAATTCCCTGCCATTTATGGAATCTAAGGGTTAATTACCATATTCACAACAGACCAATAATGTACCTTATTCTTCAGGGCATGTACATTTTGTTCTCAAATTACCTGTATTACAATTAACTATAGTCCCTCCACTGGCAATGCTCATGGTTACTTTTATATTTTACAAAAAAAAAGTAAGTAAAGCTGTAACTGTGTAGCTCCTATTCATTCTTAACCTCAGCACTAGCTGCGGGTGAGTGGTCAATGTCATGCCCCAGCCATAATTTACCCCCAGGATTGGACCCAGGTATTTACCTTTTACATGGTTTCAAAATTAGGGCATTCAATTGTAACTTTTAGAAATATAACATCCCAAATTTGTTACCTTCAGCATGAAATACAAGACTGCAGAAGTAGTGACTTACTTTGCCCCTTATTCCATCCACAATTAATTTCAGTGTTATTCCAACTCAAATGGGGAAAGAAATAATTGAATTATAGTGGAGCACAGACTGAGAAATTTTAAACAAATACTGTCTTGAAGATTTCCGTCTTCTGGGTTGTCGCCCTGATGACGGAGGAAGTATGACCTCTGAAAAGTTGGTAAACATCGACCAGACTACACAGCGCAACAACCCAGAAGACAGAAATCTTCATATTCACCGCTGTCAAAACCTCAAATATTACACATACTGTCTTATTTCGAAGTTATTATGAAGTCGATATACATATTTCTTTATATAAAATCTAGATAAAAATATCTTTGTCAAATGTTGGTCACTTGATCTAAGACTCAGATGAGTTATCAATGGCCGAACTCTTATATGGTACAGTCGTAGCTTTTGATTACGTAAGTAACAAATGAGCATCATGCATGTTTGGTGTTCCAGCTACGTGATAATAAAAGCAATGGGCCAAGAACATTGTGTAGATAGATGTAAACATGACAGTGCATACTACAGGCTAGAAAGTATTCACAAAGATTTAAAATGCCACATAATAATTACACATCTTGCTTAAATTACTTTCTTATACATTTATGATGTGACTCTGGATTCTGTATGTATGCCAAGAATGTAAAATTATGTACAAGAAATACAATAGCTGCAGAAAGGAAATTTACAAGGAATCACGTCTTCAAGCAGCCTGAATATTCAGTTTGATGGAAAACTCCCAGTTCATATCCAAGTCTCTTAAAAGTTATATTTTCTTCACAACACAAAATATCATAAAACTTGTTGCTCTGCTGGGACTGACTCCAGCAAGAACACCAATTTTTATTACACATTTTTAATTCTACTCCTTACATGCAAAACTCTTCTCAATAAATGCATCACCCAGCTATTATTGAACAGGCTGCATATAGAAAGGTGTTATTGGCAGGCCTTGTTCAAATTATTTAAAAACTTTCTGAATATTGATATTTTAATTATAAGGTATGTGAGTTCTGTTAAATGACAGTGGTAGCAAAACTTGATATGTCCTATAGACCAAAATGCACAGTCTTAAATATACAAATATAAATATCTTACATATTGACAACTCTATATTTTGTCATTAGTGGAACAAAATTATAACACTGAAGTCCCTTCTTACTCTATAAAATTAGCAACTCACCTGACCAAACGACATACAAACAGTCAGCATAACCAGCCCAAATACTTGACATTGTAAAAAAAAGAAAAAAAACTGCATTGATGTGAACCAGTGCTCTATGAAACACTGCAATCATCATGAGCATCTCGCATTTGTTGTTTGGTTTTACGGCTTGAACGACGGATTAGACTTCGACTTCTTGGCTTGGAGCGGGTTACCTCCAGTCCTCCCGTTGCTCCTTCCGTGCTGGCAGCTGCGCTGGCACCCATGGACTCCGAGGCTGGACTTCCAGTGCGCCGACCTCCCTTGCTCTTGCTGCTGGCACTTACATAGGCACTGGAGCGACGTTTCAGTCCCCCAGAACTGTCGTCCCCACCAGCAGGTAAAATTCGTGATAGTGTGAGGAAACAGCGGAAGATCTCCTTAATGTTATAGTCATCTTTGGCTGAGCATTCCAGTACCTTCACTCTGCAGAAATATAGAATCACAGCGAAATCTTTGACATAACCTTTAGCAAATATACAAGAGCTAATATGGTCAGACTAAGACAGGTACCCTGGCCCTCCAGGTTGGGGGGTTGGTCGCAAGGCTAACAACCTTGCACCGTAAAAAGAAATATGTTTCGAAACCTCGATCAAAGCCTCGGACAGACGGGCCTAACAGAGGACCGACTGGCCTTGATAGACTCAATGGGTGTGAGCCATCTAGAACATACATCAACGCAAACACAGTTATGTTCTAAGTGTGATAAAATAACTGTATACATATTGCATCGGGTACAAGCAGCTGTTAAGTTCCATGTGTGCATAAGTGTCTTTAAGTTGGTGGCCAACAATTTGTACATTTGTTTAAATAAAGATGATTCTACTGCAAACCCTATAGGGTGCGACAATTGGCCCACTCTGCACATTTATAATTTTGTCGTGACAGATCAGAATGTTTGCGCACCTCAGCTTGGGCAGCTCACAGTACACCCACTCAGAGACGTCCTCTATGGTGACTTCGCGGTGTGTGGAAGCCAGGTCCAGCTTGTTGCCAGACACAACAAAGGGAATATCCTGGTAGTCTGCCCGCTGTTCTCTGATTTCATCGAAACAGCGCTTGATGCTGTCAAACGACGTGGCCGAAGTTGTGGCGTAAACTAACAGGAAGGCGTGGGCTGTGGCGATGCTGAGACGCCTCATTGCTGGGAATTGCATGTCACCGGCTGTATCCAGGATATCAACCTGCAACAGATTTAACACAATGTTACAGAACTGTGCTTCGGTCATGCCAGAATATTTCTTCTTGCTGTCACCTGAGCTGAAGTCCTTGCTTATTTATTTGAGGTCATCGATTAGAGAAAAAGGAGACTCTTAATTGTGAAGAAACAAATTATCGAAGACATGAATCCCTTTAATACAAATTATTGTTTCAGCTAACCCCATGGAGCGGTTAGTCTTCAGAAACTGACAGTCGTTCAGCTAGTAAATAAATCTGCCGTGTTCACAAAGGCCAACCATTCGTCCCCCATGAGATTTAATACAACTAACTAATTTCAAAGGCCTAAGACAACGTTTTTATGCATTTTGTATTTCCCCTAGCCACATGCTCTGTCTAGCTTATCCTCCATGATTTGATCACTAGTATTTGACGTTCTTCAACGATAGATACAATTTCAGCCAGACGTATGTTCCTACTGACTAGGCGAATAATGTGTTACCACGTGGAGTTTTCCTTTGTGTTATGCCAACACTTGCAGAAGACTTTTCGCGTAATTAATTGGAAAGAACAGACAACAATTACAGTACGGTCCATCATGTAATCCTATGAAGGAAGTGACATCTGAAGATGTCGCTAGGAGAGGTCTATGTTGACTAACCTTGAGAGTGACAGGTCCCAGGTCATACTCTCTGTTGTACAGATCCTCCACTGTGCTGCGGTATTTATCGGCGAAGGTGTTGAAAAGGAAGCGCTTTACGATACAACTTTTGCCGACGCCTGCACCTCCCAGGATAACCAATCTGATTCGTTCGTGGTCGCTCATGCTGCTCAAGGACTTAGCTACCTGTCAACACAAAATAGATGTTGCAATATTATCATAAAGATCGCGCACGCATGTCGAGGGAGCAGTACGTTTTCTAAATTAAGACGAAGATAACTGTCCTTTGAGATGTATGATCTGAAGCTTTCACGGCGATGAAGTATAATGAATTCTTCTCGGGCTACCAGCCGTGTCAGGTGGTTGAATGGAGAAAACACCATCTTCGTCCTCGTCCTCAGGGCACTGAAATTGTTGGTTGATAGGTCGGTCTCCAACAACTTCAGTACCTTAAGGACGAGGACGAAGATGATCCTCGAAACGCTGGTGTTTTCTCCATTCAACCACCTGACACGACTGGTAGCCCGAGAAGAATTCATTGTCTTTTGAGATGCTGCGCCATGTGGTCTGGTAGAAATTAACCGACGTGTCAGAGATGTTTTTGCCTCTATCACCAGAATGATGAGTAAGTGGAATTCGCAGGCTGCTTACTCATCGTCTTGATAATAGAGGTAGTAAACACCTCTGAAAGTCGGCCAATTCTATGAGACTGCACAGCGAAGCATCCCAGAAGACAGTTATCTTCATAATCTCCAGTAAGAATCTAAAATATCACCTAGATTAACATCTGGGACAAAATCAGCATTGTAATAATTCAATAAAAATTATAAAATTTACAATAACTTGTCCAAATCAAATTTAATCCAGGGGGCAACTGGATGAGACAATCTAAAATGGCAGATATTTCGTATAATAAGTAAATCTATCAAATCCAATTGACGCTGGCACGTCATAAAATGTTTGTACTCTCCATATTGGAATTGTTATTTAAATATATTCGACTTACGTTTTATGGACTGACATCGTGGCAAGATATGGATGATACTATTTATGCTCGATGTCGGATTTCTCCGTTTGCGGGCGCCAAGACATCATCGTTGTACTTTCAAGTGACATTGGGTGTCACTTCACTTCATTTTTACACAACCTTGAATACAGAAAATACGAAGCACTGGCTTTATTTACCACATTTCACACACTTACATGGCAAAAATGAAGCAGGTACTTTCATGGAATGACTGGGCAGGGTGGAATATAAAACTTGACTTTGCTCTAGAGTACTGACAAAAAGCAAGAAGGTTTATTCCATTATGCACATTCAAGTATTTCCTTTGTAACGTCAGATAGAGTTGATAAAAAGCTAACCCAAAAGCTATTCATTAGTGATTTATGTGGAGTCAACGACAGGCTACTAACAGAGAACTCGAAAGGCAGCGCCTCTAATACAAAATCCTGCCACTGAACACCAACCTCAGCTGCTTCCTTCCACCTTTGGTCTTCACAACGAATCTGCCTAAGACCCGTTTTAATAATATCACCCCATCCATTTATTGATCTTCGAAATAGAAATGCTAAGAATCCTAATTCAAATTCTGGAAACTCTGTCTCCCATTCCCAGCCACATGTCCAACCCATCACATCCTTCTAGATTTCACTGTCCTAACAATTCGAGGAGAATTTCACACTGTGCCAAGTTCTTCATTATATTAAGTATAAAACTGCAGGTAGTGGTCTTCTGGGTTGTGTCCTGTAGGTGGTTCCCAACGTTCCGGATAAACTTGCCGCCTCCATATTTAGGGTGGACGTAGGCGACAAGTCCCTCCGAAACTTTGTTAACAACCTGTTAGACCACAATCGACCTATTCGCCGTTATGAGAGATTCAAATTTCAATTATCCTAAATTTCTCAATTGTATTTTATCTTTCATGGGTCCAAATACTTTCGTGGGAGCTTTGTAAAAGATAACATTTTACACTTACATTAAACATTTTTTTACCTTATTACATTAATGAAGCTTTTGTGATATCATTTGTGAGTAAACTTACTATCAACGACAATAACGGCCCGGTATGGACTTTGCCCTATACAATTTGATAAAATCAGCCCCGTAGAAAACTTCACTCGAAATATCAAATCCAGACTTTGGAGCTCAAAATTTCTATCTGTTACGTATGGGGGTTCGAATCTCAACATGATTAACGACCAAAATGACAAAGATTTTATGTTCATTTCATCAATGTCTCCAGCATTCTGCCCTCGGATTTAGTTAATGACTGATTATGATTTACAGGTTACTTTAAGAAGACAAGTTAACTGCAAAATTAAGTTCTTCTGTAAAAGCTTAATAGGAGGAGAGAGGCATGCGTAAAGTAGAAACAACAACTTTCGTAGGAAACAGCAGTGATAATGACGTAACAGTGCTTAAGTAAATATATCATAGGCCCATACATATTGCAGGAGTGTGCATATTCACCAACGGTACGTCTTCAACACATAAAGTAACCAGAAGTTTACTTAATAAGTTGCTTGTGTAGCAAACTCAACAAAGCAATGAATCACGGAGCAGTGCCTCATCCTCACTGCTGACAGACGTTGGTTCAAGCCTAATCTTGTCTTCATCAGCAAACTTCTTCGCAATCTCGAGAATACAAACTGAAGACATGTTAAACGTAAACTCGTAAATAATTTTTCTGCTTGAATATTAGTCTTATGTTCATATAATTATGATCTGTACCACATTTGAAGATGGTTGTAGTTTGGTATATACTGACAGGCGTTTCAAATTTCCTTACTACCCTTCTGATGGAGACGGTACGATCCTCTGAAACTTAGATCAGTATCTACCAGACTAAACGATGCAACATCAAAGAAGACAACCACCTCCATACTAGTCGCTGGGAGAACCTGAAATCTCACCTGTATTATGTTCCATGAAAAGGAATATTTTTTAGTACAAAGTAACCTACATAATGAAAGTAAGTCCTGAAATTTACTGTACGCTAATTATATATGCATATGCACTGTGAAAAATATTCTTTTGTATCCAGAAGCACATGTGTTAAAATGAACGGAAACCTGTCTTGAACAAAACAATTTTCGGTGTTCCCAAAGATTTTTTATGTGCAAGTTTTATGTATAACAATATGTGGAGTACTAAACTGTTTTTATAAATTTTATGTACAGTCCAGGTGTTAAAACATCGACGTCTTCTTCCGTCTTAAAGTGCAAGGACGAACTTGACCAACTTCCGAAACGTCGAGGTTTCAATTGTGCCTGGACGATGGCTAAAGCTCCCGCCCCCACAAAAAGCAATTTAACACAGTGTGTCGCACAAACGGCAGAAACTCTCCAGACTTCAATATGTCTAGTTTCTTTTACAAGTATCTATTTTGTGACAATATCATTGTAAACGATGGAGTTAATTAATGAACGTCCTCTGCATTTGTTTGATGAAACTGCTAATTGAGGCAATCAGTTTTCCACTAACATGAACAAACTAATTTGACAACCCTCGAGGTATCCTGTAATTACACGGGCTTCATAGCAAGCACTAAACATGTAGAGTTGACAACCTGTAGGCTACTATAATTGGTAGTTAACAACGTTTGAAAGTTCGATTTCGTTGCTTCAATAAGAAGACAGTTTAATAATATCTTAATAGAAAGTAACGAAGTTTGGTAGAATACTGTACAGATTATATGCAGTCCGCTTCTCATCTCCGAACTGTATGACAGGTTTCTGTTTTTATGTTTTTGGAGGGCTAATTTAAAAGTTACAGTGAGAATTACATTTTTCCTCATACCAAAACAACCCCAATTTTATGTATGACCAAATCGAATACATTATCAGTTTTCTTAAAACAGAAAATAGTATGTAAATTTGTACCGATACGTTACAAAATATTAATTACATTCAAACCTAACTAATTAACAGTTTTTTCCATCACTGATCCTCACAATCTCCCTCACGATTAGTTTGAATTACAGCCTCTCACTTTCTTCTTGTCTACCAAGTGGACGTTTTCCAAGAGGTGTCTGCAGCAACATTTTGCCTTCATTCCATCTCCTCCTTTTTCGCCTCTTGTGCAACCCGTCGTAGATTTTTTGATTTCACAGTAGTAACAGTACTGGTTAACTTTTACCTCTCATTACGGCACACAATTTTAAACATTTTCCGATATATTAAATATTCGAAATGAAAGGACAAATAACGTTATTCTACGCAGTATTAAAATTTCAGATCGATTTGAAGTAGCTGAAATTTCAGGTTCTCACGGAGGCGTATAGTAGTAGTCTCGTAGAAATTGACCAACGTTTCCGAGGTTATTATTGCCTCCATCATCAGGGCGATGTGCATTAAGAAAATATCTGCAAACTGGAAAACAAATTTTCAGTCTTCTTTTCAAATTACGTGTTATCAGTGCTCAAATACTACAATATAAAGAAAATTACAGAATAATCGGATCACAAGCAAGTCGACAACAGGGGAACAGAGTAGCACACTCATATCAAATGACGAGCAATCTGGCGAATGAGGTCACCAACGAAAGGACGTGTTTCAAACCGATCAGTTGACACAAACGGGATACGTGAACAAGCAGCCATTTGTATGTACAATAACTACGGATATGTCAGTAGAAACTCACTCGCTTTGGACACTGTTATGTAGGCCAGCTGATCGTTATATCCAACGTCAGGCAAACGAGTCGAACTCGACATTCAGTATCGACGTTTGTTCAATTGTGAGTTTTCTTATTTCACCGCTCCCAAATTATGTGCTGAGACTAAGACTCCAAAAGTCACAGGATCAGATTTTTCTAGACGTTTCTTACATTCTTGATATAATTTCTAGGGTCGTACTGTTTTTGATCATTATGCACGTTTACACTATATTTCTGCAGGACATATAACATACATTAAAGTAATAGGAAATGCATACAGAATTTTAATTGAAAACCCTGAAGGAAAGATACAGTTTGGGAGACATAAGCTTAGATGGGAGGATAACATTAGGATGCGCTTTAAATAAATAGGCTCAGGGTAGGGACCACTGGCAAACTATCGTTAATACGGTAATAAATCTTTCAGTTCCGTAAAAGTTGGAAAGCTTTTTGACTAGCGAAAAATAAATCTTTTCAAGGTGGACTCTACGTATTGATATCAGTTATGCGGTAGAATTTAAAAAAGTTATGGTACTTTCAAGTCTTTAAAACCTAGTGGTTACTTATTTATTAATTTCTGTAAATGATATCGTCTCATTTAGTAGTTTTAGCTCTAATACACACAGACGAGTGTACGTGTCTTAGCGATGTTGCATTCACAATTTGGAGGAACCAAAGAGGCTACAGGAGAAGAAGGAACATAAAAATGACGAGGAACGGGCAGATACAAAATGGATGGGAACAAGAAGTGAAAAGAGATACAGACGGCAGGAAGGAAATGCATAAAGAAAGAAGAAAGACATGGAAGACAACAAAAGAGCGAGACTTAGTTAGTCATTACTTCAGTGCATGTGGATTCTGATAGAAATTACATCACAAACTCCTTGCTGATTCAATTTTTATGGCGTCACATATTTTACGTTCCTTTACGACGTCTGCTATAGAATCTCTAAGGTCCAAAAGTTATATTACAGCATGTTCCACATAATGGATGAGATGTGGATCCACTCTTTAGGGAAGGGTATCAGGTAGTTTTATTGCAAATGAAATGTTGGATTTCAGATTGCAGTTTAATGACGCTATAAAAGCTTAATAGCCCTTTGAATGGTCAAAGTTTAACTATGGAGGGAAAATAACACTCATTCGTTACTCTGAAGAATACTTGTAAATCTACTGAAAGTATAACGAAGCTAGTAATGGTGTGGAGGAGCTCCGTATGACACAGCAAACAGGTTTGTTTAATTATTTTTGGACTTTTCCCATCGTTCAGGTCTAATGAAAACCACGTTTAAGAAATTGGTTCTACTCGAACCTGGTTTGAGACTTGTTCAACCAGGTAGCCCCAAGTTCCACCCACAGGCTTTATTATCAAATAGTAATACGAAAGACGCATGACATCTAACGTAACGTAACGTAAACTAACCTAACCTAGCCAATCAGGAATATCTGTAGCTCCTATTCATGAGAGCTATCCAACGGTCCCAGTCCTGAACCAAATGAACCCAATTCATATGCTCAAACCTTATTTACTTTTGATACATTTTAATATTGCCCTCTCATTTACGCCTAGTGCTTCTGGGTGGTCTCTCCTCTTCAGGCACCTAAAACAATCTTTTAAATATACAGGATGAGTCAAAGGTATGTTTACAAACTTTGTGTGCGTGTCCCTGTATCAAAAGTAAGAAAAAATGTTCCTATGAACATGTGTTCGCAAATGCTTTTTTTCATTTAATAGCCAAAAATAAGTTTCAATGTATGCCTTTATTGCCAAGTATAAGGACAGGGATGTTTCTATATAACAGATGCTCAAAGGTTTGTCCTCCATTCTCCACACATGCCCGAGCACGACGTACCCAAGACTGACAGATTCGTTCGTACACACCAGGGTTTCCTCGAATCATCTGGCAAGCATTCTGTACACGTTCCCATAGATCGTCATCATTGTTTATGGGAGTTGCATAAACGACGGACTTCAAGTGACCCCATAGATAAAAGTCCAATGGAATCAGATCCATGACCTCGGTGGTCATGCTACTGGGCCACCACGCCCAATCCATCGCTGAGGGTACAGTTCATTGAGATGATATCTGACGCAATGGGACAAGTGTGCTGAGGCTCCGTCGTGCATAAACCACATTTGTCTTCTTGTATTCAGTGGTACATCTTCAAGGAGACGTGGCAAGTGTCTTCTTAAGAATCGCTGACATGAAGGTCCTCTTAGATGTGATGGAAGCATGTGTGGACCAATAAGCATGTCGCCAACAATTCCTGCCCAAACGTTAATTGAAAATGTTTGCTGGAAGCTGGATTCACTTTGATATAAAGCCATTCATTGAAATTTATTATGGCTATTATTTCCAAAATGAAACATTTGCCACCCCGTGTTCACTGGGGCATTTTTTCTTATTTTTAATCCTGGAACACGCACACAAAATTTATAAACTTACTTTTGACTCACTCTGTATTGCTGATCCTCACTTCACATGGTAGGCATTTCAAGGTTTACGTCACTTAAAAATCTCAAGCATTCTGTAATAGAACCTTGGCTGTGGGTAAGATGTCTATGACGCCACGTTACGTATACAAGCATCTTTCTTCCATTGGTTGTCTGTGGTGTTGACAACGCCTGCCATCGACTGAGTAGCCTCAGAGACCTACTTGGAGCATGAGGATCTACGGAATGTCGAAATTGTTGACGACCTAATACATTTTGTAGGGCGCATCACAAAGCAGACGGTCCATAGTTCACTCCATGTGGTCAGTCTGCGTTATTCATTCCAAAGTATACGCTTCAGCTGTTACGGTGGCTTCATAACAAAGGCACATCACTCGTCTATTGTTCGCATGCCAAAAGGACCAATTTACAGTCGTTTCGAAACTAGTAATTCATAACAAATTGTGAAATCTTTTTTTTTACTGTGTGCGTATATATTAAGTTCCGTTTTTACACAGTTTCCGGTTCAAGCGCTGTAGCGGTGACAGAAGAAGACCCGCTTTTCGGTCGTCCTGCCACGGCGTGAACATGCTGCCGCTTACTGGCATGCTTTTGTTCATGGGTAAGTACTGACAAAACACTGTGGTTGCTTGTGCATAAATCAATGAGAATTCATTCTTAACTGATAAATAAAAAAGTACTTTTTGAGAAGACCCCAGTGAAGAGAAATGTGATCCACAATACACAGTGTATAAAGTTCAAGTCGTTTAGAAGTTGATGATGTATGGCGATCACATAGTTTATTTTCTGTCTCTCTCCATTTAGTACAGATAACGGTCTTGCAACTTGACATAAAAAGAAATCCCACTTCAACAACGTTTCATGTAGTATTGACAAGAAGTTCCCGACTGACGGGTGATACTGTAGTGAGCTAGAAATAAACAAGGTAGGATTCTGGCCATTCGTTCAACGCCCGAATTTCGAGAGGTCTACCATTCACTTTTACCTTGCATTATCTGTCCTCGTTAAAGCCTACGTGTCCATTCTGAGTCAGCGTTCCAAATCAAAAATTCATTCTGGTTTCATTCATAAATAACAGAATTCTCATCAACTGCGTTCAGTTTTGAATTTTATTTCGTTGTGATTGTCACATAACCAATAAAAATGATATCGGCGGAACATATAGAATGCATGGAGATATTAGAAATGAGTAAGAAATTTTAGTAACAATACTGGAAGTGAAGATACCGCTTGGGAGAAAAAGGAATGGTTCGGAGAAAATGTAAAATGGATGTCACGGCCATAAACGGCAAGTAGGATCTTGGAATTCTGCTCGCGGTATGGATGTGGGCATTCTTTTGTATTGTGTTGTCTAATGCAGGCAGAGACTCTGGAATTGACTAGTTCTTACCTAGAGATTATCACGAGATACGTAAAGTGTTAATTGTTTAAAAATTAATTGTGAATAGAAACGTGCAGTTACGGTCCCTGAGAAATGTATCAACACATTTGGAGGGAATTAAATTCTTCAGTTGTCTCGCACACGTTCTGAATGGACTTTTTGTAGCACCTCTGCGAGTTTATGCTGAAAGTTATAGCTAGGGCTATTCAAATGTTATCTTTCTATTCAACGTTCATTTTGAACAGACGTTCTTTGTGCAGATCGGCAGAAAGGGCAGGAAGTAAGGAAGCAG